CACACACACACACACACACACACCATATACATTCACTCACACACACACACACACACACACACACACCATATACACTCACTCACACACACACACACACACACACACCATATACACTAACTCACACACACAGACACACACTTGGGCACATTACATTTACAAAGAAAAACAAAGAAAAACACCCCTAGAATAATGCAGCTCTCACTGCTGTCCATGTGCAACACAGAAATGAGCCCGACACACACACACACACACACTCGTGAGCTCACTGTAGTGTGACGTGACAGACGTGTGTTGTAGGAGAGCAGCATAACGTCTTCCTCGTGAACACACAGGTGTTTCTGTGCCGTCAGCGGCAGTGAAGAACATCACGCAGATGATGACCGGCGCTCCTTTACCTGCTGGTGTCCATCGGATCCTCCTTGAAGTTCTCACACTGCTCCATCACTTTACTGCACACACACACACACATGTACGTCAGACCAGTCCAGAACTGCTTCTCTGTTTAAAACTGAGTGATTATAAAATCAGACCTTCAGCATGATGTGATTCATGAATGACTCTTTTGAATGAACTGCTCAAACGACTCACAAATCAGTGAGAAATTCATGATGCAGTGGGTTTTTCAGTGTAATATTGTGTATTAATGACAATGTGTACTTTATGTAAAGTCATTACCAAAACTTTAACTATAGCTACTCTATCATATGACACACACATTTCTAAAGCCTCTAAATGATCATGATGATCAAACTCTGCTGTTAAACCCGTTTCATCTCCTCGTGTCTTCTGTCTCTGATTGAGAGTTTAGAGTGTTTTATTCAGTAAAAGCTCTTCTAGTGTAATTATAGAAACACTTCTCGTGTCAGATCTTGACTGATTTTGATCAAGAAAAGGTCAGAATAACTGCAGTAATATCTCCAGATGAACACTTACTGCACTGAAGCAGCTCAGCTTTACTTGATTCTCCATCAATCATGTTTTAGAGTCTCAAATCTGATCCTCAGGATCTTTTGAGGAGCGTTTGTTTCCAGAAGCTTTACTTTCACTGTTCCTCAGCGGAGGAATGATCTTCACAAGCCTCCAGAACATCTCACATCTTCTGAGGAGCCTTTATTTCTTCAGCTCTCAATCACTGCATTATATGTTTGGAGCATTTCAATCTCATCTTATTATTAGAGATATAGAGCGACCGCTGATATTTAGATCACTTTATGTCAGTATCTGCTGTACTGTTATAAAGATATCACTGATTTACATTACAAGCATCCAAATTTCATCATATAAATATAGGCATCTGGAGCAAATTCATATTTTTGGTCAGTCTGAGTCTCTAAATAAAACTGAGCTTCATATTCTCACTGTATCAGACTAGATGAACCATAAAAGCTTAATGGAGCAAATATGATACTCAAACAAAATTATAAAAAAGTGTGTGTTTTTTTTATATGTCAGGCTTTACAGGGTTAAAAATAACATTAAAACAGTATAGCTCTGATCTAGTATGTTTGTTCAGTTTATAGTTTATAGTTCAGATCAGTTATTGGTTGGAGTAGTTTCTTCATCAAAAGACAAAATAATCATTATTGGAATCATGAACCAGTTTAACAAACCGATTCAGATGATTTTGGAGACTGTGTGTGTGTGTGTTAGTGTGTGTGTGAGTGAGTGAGTGAGTGTGTGTGAGAGAGAGAGTTAGTGTGCGCGTGTGTGTGTGTGTGTGTGTGAGAGAGTGAGTGAGTGTGTATGTGTGAGTGAGAGTGAGTGAGTGAGTGAGTGAGTGAATGAGTGAGTGAGTGAGTGAGTGTGTGTGAGAGAGAGAGAGAGTTAGTGTATGCGTGTGTGTGTGTGAGTGTATGAGTGAGTGAGTGAGTGTGGGTGAGTGAGGGTGAGTGAGTGAGTGAGTGTGTGTGTGTGAGAGTGTGTGTGAGTG